GTTAGGTAAATAGTTGGTTCTGTCCTGACCCCTGGGGGACCCAGCTGGCTGGCTTGGGAGGGGTCAAGAGGGTCTGGCCAGGTCCACCCTGAAGACAGCCTGTCCCAAACTCACTGGCCTCAGCCCTACACCTAGATAGTGACCTCCGCGATGTCCCCAATGGTCCCCCATGCTTGGAGGGTCCCTGAGGACGAACGGACAGATGGGTAAGCGTCTTGGGGGACTTGGTATGTTCAAGTAGCCCCGCCCCGGTCCCCATGGGGACAGTGGTTGGATGCGGCCTGGCCCTGAGGGCTCTGCTAGGGTGATGGCTTGGTGCCTTGGTGGGCAGGAGATATAGGCATGACAGGGCTAAGATGGGTGGTAGGGGAGGAGGGGCCTTTGTGGGTCAGTGCCCCTAAAATACTCACTTCCCCTCTGAGGGCAGCGCACCCGAGATGGGGACCCAAGTGGGTACAGAAAGGGGCTACAGAGCTGGGGTTGGGGCGTGGACCTCGCGCCCCCACCTTAGTGTTTTTTTTTTTTTTTTTTTTTTTTAGGTCAGTTAAGTCCGCATAGCAGATGGGGGAACCCACCACCTCGTCACCCCATCACCCCAGAGCCCTCCCACCTGGGGTCAGAGAGCACTTCCACCAGCCTTCTTGGTCCCTGTGCCGGGCCCCACATCATCAGGGGGGTCAAAGTGCAAAGGGGGTATCCCCCTGCAGTGAGGCACCCCAGGGTGGGTCTCCAGGAAGTAAGGCACTGGCAGAAGTATAGGGACAGCGCACACCTCAGCCTGGGTTTGGGGACACCCAGCTCTTATCCCTGGGGTCATCTCTCTCTAGCTTGGAGGGCGTGCGTGCATGCGTGCGGTGAATAAGAGCTGGGGTACATGGGGACAAGGGTGGGGTGCCTTGGCCACTCTGTGTCCCTGATGGATAAGGGGGTCGGCGGGTGGGCGGAGGGGTTAGGCACTTAGATCGCGGCACCTCCCGCCTCCGGGGGCCTCGGCGTGGGGGGGGTCCCGGCTCCCCACCTGTTTCTCAAAGTGCTGAAACTTCCCATGTGCGAGAGGAGGAGGCCGGGGGTCGGGAGCTGCGTGGCCTCTCATGCCAGGGTGGGGCTGGGGACAAATTGCATAGAGAGACATGTCCTTTCAAACGAGGTCCGCAAGGAGGGGGGCCAGAGGGCCGAGGCGGAGGCTGACGCAGGACCCTCCCAGGGGTCCCAAAGTACCTGTGGGACATCTGTCCCCAGCAGGGCCAGCGCTGGGCAGCTGTGTGTGCTCTCCAGGACTCCGCTGCCGGCACTGGGGCATATCTGCCTCCTCTGCCAGCACGGCCTCCAGCCTCCTGTCTTTGGCAAACACCGTCGGTGGGGACGGCCAGCGGAGGTCTCCCGAGGCCGGCGCTGGTGGCTGGCGGCAGAGGTCTGGGGAAAGGTGGCCCGGCTGGGTGGCCCACTCTGTCCACTCTGTCCATCTCTTGGTGCTGGGTGTGGGTGCCAGGCCGGGCTCGCCTGGTCTGGGCGTGATGGCAGGGTCCTTGGGGCGCAGAAGGGCTGCAGGCAGCTGTCAATCAACAGCAGGCGCCACAGAGCTCCCACCTTTTGTCATCTTGGTTGGGAAGGTTTTTCTCTGTCTTTTTTTTTTCCTGTTTGTTTTTGTCCTTTTTTCCTCCTGTCTGTCTTTTCAATTGCTGGGAGTCGGCAGGGAGCTTCTCTCTCATTCTAATTTTCCACTGGAAATGCAGGCTTGGGCCATCCCCTCTGGGACTCCCCTGGCAATGAAGACGTGGGAGGGCGAGCTCGGCTATCCCAGGTACCAGGACTATGTGGTCAGCAGAGATAGGGAGAGAGAGAAACGGGGTGTCAGGAGAGAGCTGCCTCTTCCCACCCCCCACTGCACCTCAGACCCCTGTATGCAAACCATAATACCAGGTGTGACCCTGGCCTATGGCCTCCGCCCAAGGCTGCTTGGCAAACACAGGAAGCCCGGTGAAATGTCAGACCTGTTCCTTTCAGAGACGCTATGCCCGGTGTGATTTCAAGGCCCAAGTATGTCCTGAGTGATGTCTAAGTGCATCCCATGTGATTTCAGACTCATCCCTGTGAGGTCAGATGCTCAGCAGGTACCCCTCCTCATGTGCTGTCAGGGATGGGCATGTGACATTAGAGACTCAGGGTGACCACATTAAGAATGTAGGTGGCCGAGGAGAGTCGTGTTTGCTTTGCTAACTCAACCCTATTCCTGGGATCTGTGTGGAGGCTGTGAGAGGGGCTCCGCTAACCTACAACTCACTGTGTACCCAGGGTGACCCATCATCCTGCCTCAGTCCCCCTAGTCCCAGCGTTGCCACCACACTGGGATTATTTGTCTTTTTAGCAGTCATGTTCCTACCCCACTAGGCACAAAGCTGCTGGCTGGAATCAGAGGGTGGACAAGAACCAGCCTGGACTGGTTTGGCTTCAGATTCTCTTTCTGTCCCCTCCAAGGCCACTGGGCTATCAGTGAGCACTGTCCTGGGAGTCCAGATTGGCCTGTGGTGAAGTCCCCTCCCAATAGCCAAAGCAAGGGGTCCCTGCCTGGGGCCTGAGGCCTGGAGCTGCTGGCAAGGGGGTGGGGCAGGGTAGCCTGAGAGGCAGTGCCTTTCTAGGCCCGCCCTCAGCCAAGTGCAGGCTCCTGTGTCCCTTACCTCATGTCTGGTTTCTACTGGCAACCAGACAGGCTGGGGTGTGACCCTGGCCTGGTGCTGGACTGCAGCCTCCCTGGAGACCCAGAGTCTGCCATGCCAACAGAGGGGGAGACCGAGGCAGTGGGAGGCAGCCAGAGCCTCAGTCCCTGGGTTATTTGTGTGCCTGGATATGAGGGGCCTGGGGCGGGATGGGGAGACCAAGGTCTTGGTGTACAGATGGTGGGGCAGGGAGGGAGCCAGGCTGCCAGGGGAGGCCCAGCCAGGAATAACAATGTAGCTGGCCAGGAAGTGCTGACTGGGCAGAAAGAGCTGAGGCAGGGGCCTGGAGGAGGGGAGAAGCCCACACTGGCAGCCTCCTGATTTCCCTGGTGGTGGTGGAGGGGTGGTGGTGGTGGGGATCTTGTCCACCCCATGACCTCTGCCCCCGCCTGCCTCAGGGAGTCCTGCCCATTCTCCTCCCCCCTACAGCCTTCTGTGGCTTGCCAGTGCGCTGGAGATGAGGCCCACAATCTCCTTATGCCAGCTTGCCCTTGTCTAGCCCACAGTGTCCCCATGTCCTCTGTGGGCCAGGCACAGTCACTGGGTCATTATGCTCTGTCTTCAGCCAGCAATGGCCAACAGCCCTGGCTCTGGATGCCCTGACCCAGAGGAGGCAGAGGGAGTCACCCATTTATCAGTCCATTCTGGACCCATGGGAGGGAAGAGTGAGGCAGAGGCCATGCCCTGAGTGACCCAGCAAACTACTACAGAGATGGGGGGAGGGTTCTGAGGGAGAGCTGCTAGGAGGGAGCTGGCTGAGGCCTGAGGAAGAGGCAGGCTCAGAATGGACAGAACAAACAAACGGATGAGACAGATGGGCTGGATGCCCGGTCCCCTGCAGTCACACATGGGGCTCCTTGAGCCCCTGATAGGAACCTGGACAACTGTAGAGGATACCAAGGCAGCCATGGAGGCGACTTTACACAACTGTGCAACCATAGACAACTTGCCTGCCCTCTCTGAACCTCATCTGGCACCCTAAACTTGATGCCTCTGCCTCTTGCTCTGGACTCTCAAGTGAGGAGCATGGGGATGGGGGACCGCAGGTGGGGATGTCATGTGACCCTGGGTTGCTTGTCTCTCCTCTCTGAGCCTCAGGTTCCCACTACACAAATGTACCCCATAGCCCTGGGTGCTCTGCCTCAGGAGTCCTGAGGACAGCCAGGGAGGGAGACCTCACACCCACAGGGTGGGCTCAAGGCCCAGGTCAGGAATGAGAGGCTGGCTTCTGCGAGTCCCTGCAGGCTGTGGCCAGCAGGGCCTGCTGTCTCCTAATCCCACAAAGGGACGGTTTGCAGGGGACGTGCCGGGCGGAGAGCAGGCTGTGGGGAGGAGAGAGACCAGAGCCCATTAGCGCCAGGGCACGGGGACCAGAGAGGGTATTTGCTGCCTGGAGGTCACACAACCTTCCCTTGGCACCCAGCTGCAGCCCTCGCAGTTCTCCCAGGGTGAATCTGGGCACTCTGAGAGGCCTGGGGTCCCGGGGGACCTGGGGATCCTGGCTGGGGTCTGGAGGGTAGGTGGGGCATCAGCCTTGGGCTGAGGCAACAAATAAAATATTAATAATTAAGGCCAGCTGTGAATTATTCAGGGCTAGCTGCGGCCAGGTTGGCGGCACCCCGTGCACAGTGCCATCAATTATTAAGGACATTTTATTTATTGATTCCCTTTGTGGAGAGTGTGGGGTGGTGGGGTGTCTGCAAAAATCTATTTAGCTGGCTTGTGGTATCCATTTCTGAGGCAAAGTCTCTATAGCCCAGGCTAGACTTGAACCTGCATCCATCCTTCTGCCTCAGCACTCTGAGTGCTGGGATGAAAGTCTGGTGCCTCCATGCCCTGCTTCTAGTTTCGGTCACGAGGGGACTAAAAAACAACACGGAGCCGGAGCCGGGCAGTGGTGGCATACACCATTAATCCCAGCACTTGGGAAGCAGAGGCAGGAAGATCTCTGTGAGTTCGAGGCCAGCCTGGTCTACAAGGTGAGTTCAAGGACAGCCTCAAGAGCCACAGAGAGGGCTGGAGAGCTGGTTCAGTGGTTAAGAGCACTGCCTGCCCTTCCAAAGGTCCTGAGTTCAATTCCCAGCAAGTGCATGGTGGCTCACAACCATCTGTAATGAGATTTTGTGCCGAACACTGTACACATAATAAATAAATCTTAAAAAAAAAAAAAGCCACAGAGAAACCCTGTCTCGAAAAACCAAGGTCCCACTAAAACAACTTAAAAGAACACAGGCCATTCACACCCCACCAGGGGCGAAAATGGAGGAAGGGCTGGGCGAGTACAGGAAGGGTAGAGTGGCTGGTAATAAAGCCCCAAGAGGAAAAGGAGACTTTGTATCTATGAAGTTCCTACTATATACCAGAGGTCCCACTCTTGACCAAGCCCCCAGCCTCTCTCTGGGAAATTCTAGGCGGGGCTCCACCCTGACCAAGCCCCAGCCTCTCAATGGGTGATTCTAGGCGGGGCTCCACCCTGACCAAGCCCCAGCCTCTCAATGGGTGATTCTAGGCGGGGCTCCACCCTGACCAAGCCCCAGCCTCTCAATGGGTGATTCTAGGCGGGGCTCCACCCTGACCATGCCCCCAGCCCTCAGTGGGGATTCTAGAGACTGACTTTTGTTACAGGTGTGTAAACTGAGGCACAGAGAGGGAGAGGCATTTGCCCGAGGTTTCCACAGCTGTGTGGAAAGATGCATTTGCACCACAGCCAGTGCTGGGAACCTCAGATCTTGGAGGCTGGAGTTTGGGACATGTTGGGCAGGGGTGCTGGCTCTGAGAGGGGGATGCATGGGGACAGACACCAACCACTCTCCTGGGTACATCTGCTCAGATGTAACCCTGGGCCATGCTGCAATCTTGCCATCCTCACCCAGGGTTCCTTCCAGCTGGCGACACCTCATACCAGTTCTTCAACCCAACTATCCCAAAGAGCCAAATCTTAGAGTCCCAAAGAGTTCCACATGATTTTTCTGTTACCCCATAGCCCAGGGTCGCCTCAGACTTGTAGCAAACCTCCTGCTTCAGCCTTCCAAATGCTCTGAATCTCAGACATGCTTTGTGCTTTGCACAAACCAATGCTAATGCCTTTTGGGCTTGGATTTTACTGGCCCTTGGGACTGGGGTTTGATGCAAGATCCCCTGGAGCCCCTAGGCTGCAATGTGCCAACTCTTGAGTATGTGTTAGCTCAGGCTGCATCAAGCACTCACCGGTCCAGGCTGCTGGGTGGCTGGGTCGCAGGCGAGGGACACCAGATCCTTGAGCGGGTCCTGGGGGTTGAGATGCGGCGGGTACCGGATGGCTGTGTGTGGAAAGTAGGTGGAGGCCGTCTGAGGCAGGATGGACGTGGCAGGGAAGTGCAGCGCTGAGGACGGGTGAGGACTCCTGGCAATCCCTGTGGACAGATACAAGTGCAGGGTGGTCACAGGGCCAATGGGACTGTCCCCAATCTTCATGATACTCAGTCTGGGCAAACCCAGGCAACCCTCCTGCCTCAGGTCCTGCACCCTAAAAGCCTTTCCCCGGTGAAGTGGGCAGAGCGCTGGCCAGCACAAACATAATCACAAGAGACTAAGGCACAAGGGCTACGGTGAGTTCAAGGCTAGCCTGGGCTACAGAGTGAGACCCTTAAAACCAAGCATCCAATTTTATAATATCCACTATTTCCACACCATTGTGCTATTACGATTCCACTTCCTGTCTTTGGAGTCCTCCAGTTCTGAACACTTCCTATGGCAGAGCCCACACTGTGTGTGAGTTTCTTACTGGGCACAGTGGCCCACAGGCCCCTCACGCTGTGAGGTGTCAGAGCCTTGTTCCTGTCCATGGCTGTGTAATGCCCCAATGTCGTGACATGGCTAAGGCTCCTCTCTCTGGTGATCACCCCATACCTTCCCAGGCCCCAGGCAGATACTCATGGATGTGTCTTCCATCACATGGCTTTATCTGGATCATCCATTATGGGATCAACATGGTGTGCAAACAACGAATTAACGAACCAACTGCTTGGGGCCAGGTGCCGATAAAACTTTATACATATGAAGAAGCAGCAGGAAGGCCATAGCCAGCTGACCCCTGACCTAGCTAGGTAGCTCTACAGGTGACAGTGGAGGCTCCCTATAATTTGCATCACCCCAGGATAGGCCATCTCCACTACAGCACACTTTTTTTCTTGGCCGGAAGGCTACAGCAACAGTTGGCAACCTGGCAGACTTGTGTGGCCATGCTGGTGGCAGTCACACTTCCATGCCTGGGTGAGACTCACCGCTGTGCACTGCAATGACGGGCCTGTGGTGCTGTGTGAAGCTGGAGAGCCGGGGGGAGTCCTGGGGGGACGGGCTGTTGAAGGGAGATTTGTCCATCTCGGTCTTCTTCACCGGGGAGGAGATGCCTGTGAGGAAGGGGACCAGAGTCTCCATCTCTGAGGGGCAGTGAGTGATGTCACCCCTCCCAAACGCCCAAGGCTCTAACTGGGAATATAGGGGGCAGTCCCTGAGGGGATCAGGAGAGGGAGCAGTGGAACAGTACACAGCCAGGAACAGGAGCAAGACCCTGACAGGCATCTTCAGGGGATGGTCCCCTCTATTCTCAGAGACTTTTCTGGTCCCCAGGGGATCCTGGTATTGGTACTGATTATAGGGGTTAGGTGCTTATACCCTGACCCACTGGCTCAGACTAGTCTCCCAACTCATCGAAATCCTCTTGCCTCAGCCGCCCAAGTGCTGGGGTACCAGGTACTGGCTGCATCTGCTGTCACCACCCAATGCTTGCCACCCCACGTCAGCAAATGTGTCAGAGTGGTGGCGGGGACAAGCAGCCCTGGACACTTGTCTCCCTCGGAGGAGGGGGGGTGTCACGTGGGCTGGAGGGCATGACCTCAGTGTCTTAAGACTCAATGTGGCCCAAGCACCCAGTGTGGCCATAGCAAGCCTGGTGACCATAGCGCCCCTCAGCCTCTACCGGTGTGCAAGGGGAGCCTGCCAGCCTAGGCCCTCCACGTCAGGTTTCTTACTCAGGATCCCCCGGGGCGCATCTGCGCACCCCTGCTTTCTGTCTAGACTGTCCCCAATTACGGCCATCCCCAGGCGCGGGCGGGACCTGCCAGACCAGGCAAAGTCCCCGACCTCAGTTTCCTCGAACAACACCCTGGCCTGGGGTAACTCTGGGAAGCCAGCACAAGCTCTCACCACCTCCACCCTCGACACTGTCAGGGACCAGAGACTCCGCGCCACTCGCTGACGTCGCACAGCGTGCACCGCACCTGGGGAGTGCCCACGACGGCAGAATCAACCCCTTTTCACCCCTTCCGGCAGGCGCTCGACATGCCCGTGCACGCACACAGCAACGCGCGCAGGTGTGGCCGGCCAGCACACCGCTCCCTGAGCCCTCAACGGGGAAGAAATCCACAAGGACTTCGGGGAGGCACAGAGAATACTACGCCAGGAACCAAAGTGTCTGGACTTGACTACAGGACTTTCCGCATACAACTCCCAGGAGGCCCTGCGATGCCGGCTGGTTTATTACACAGGGATAGCTACTCTAAATGATGGGAACATATTGCCGGACTACAACTCCCACAAGGGCCCGCGACTTTAGCTCAGCTCCTGCCCTGGGCGAGTACGCAAAGCCCGCCGGGACTTGTAGTCCTAACTGCCTCCGCTCCGTCACCGCCAGGTCCTACCTCCCTCGATGTCCTCCGTCCAGTTGCGACTGCTACTCGTGGGCGAGCTGGGCGAGGTGTAGTAGTCGCCGCCAGGACTCGTGTCCACATCCTCCTCCATGGAGCCCGACTTGTGCCGCTTGCTCCTGCGAACGAGAGAGGGGGCGGGGCGTGCAGACCGGTTACCATGGGAAGATGGGGGCGTTACCGTCCTTAGCCTGAGATCCCCGAGGTAGAGGCGAGGAAGGGGGCACCAGGGTTGTTATCTAAAACCCAGGGCGAAGGCCCATTTAACAGACGTGGAAACAGAGGCAAACCACGTGATCAGATCAATGTCCCAAGAATGTCTGGAAGAATTTGTTGGCCTGCCAGGGCTGGGGCGAGGGGCCGGGTTCCCCCGCCCACGTGTACAGTAAACGCAGGCCTTGGGGAGTGA